CCCAGCATGTGAGCTACCTCCTGCACATTGAAGGAAGTCCCCTTGTGGTGTTCCTCAGGCAAAGAAGGAGCTTCATCCCTAAGGTCTTTCCTGTCTTCACCTATGATACAGCAGGAGATCTCCAGGTAGATCATCCTTTTATCAAGGATGACTGTTTCTACCATGGATTTATTCAGAGAAAGTCCTCTTCTCGGGTCACCCTTAGCACATGTTCAGGAGGACTGAGAGGTCTCTTGCAAATTGAAAATAAGACCTATGAAATTGAACCAGTCCAGGAATCTTCCACCTTTCAACACGTGGTGTTTCGGTTAGAAGTAGAGGAAGGGGCTGTCCGGATGACTTGTGGAGTAGGAGAGGAAGAACGGAGCCATCAACAGGACATAATTCCTGAAACAGAGAATATTGGAAACAAAGATATTTTTGGAAAATCCTGGTGGCCACATACAAGATACGTTAAGGTAGCAATTGTGATTGATCACGAACGATATTTGCAGTTTCACAGAAATGAATCTTTTATTACTATGCAAGTTCTAGATATTGTCCACACTGCAAATTCATTCTATGATCCACTTTCTGTTCATTTATCAATAACAGGCTTAGTGATCTGGTCACAAAAAAATCTCATAAACATTACCCATATAGCAGATGACACACTTTTATCATTTAATGAATGGAGAAGAACCCAGCTGGTTAAAATTTTAAAGAATGATGCTGGTCACTTATTTGCTTATAAAAATTTTGGGGCAACAGTAGGACTTGCACATACAGGTAGTATATGTAGCGATTACTTTGCAAGTGCTATTGAATCCTACAGAACTCCCAGTTTGTTTTATATGTCTGTCATATTTACCCATGAACAGGGACATATTCTTGGAATGATACATGATGGACAATTTTGTCATTGTGAAAAGAGTGAATGCATTATGGCAGAATTTGCAGCAGAGACTGATAAATTTAGTAACTGCAGTTACAAGGATTATTTCCGCTATAGAAACCAAGGCTGTTTACTTGTCCCACCAGACACTAACACAACATTTAAGTTTGAATTCTGCGGTAACAAAAGAGTGGAAAAGGGAGAGCAGTGTGACTGTGGGTCAGAAACACAATGCAAGTCAGATCCTTGCTGTCAAACTAATTGTATGTTGCGCCCGGAGGCTGTTTGTGCCTTTGGACTGTGCTGTGCTAACTGCCAATATCGTCAACGTGGAACTGTTTGCCGAGAGAAGATTAGCAGTTGTGATCTTCCTGAATATTGCAATGGGACTTCAGAGCACTGTCCAGA